GTACTTTAAACTGTATAAATAATGTAAAATTAAATTGATTTAAACTGCCAATCATACGAATGTCTGCCTATGAGGTTGAGGGTTAGGGTTAGCTATACTGTTTAGCAGGAACTACGTATAGTAAAATTATCAGCTGGGCATTTTTTACTTAAATTTTTTTATAACTTTAAACAAAACTGTTATATTTTGAAAATATCTGATTAAATTCGATAAAATTTTTTTTATTTGAATTTTACGGGTTTGTAGAATTAAAATAGAAAAATTATATCAATAAACATTCACTTTAAAATTGACGATTTTCTTGGACCGTCGATTCAACCCCTATATATAGTAATTTATTTAATTAAAAAAATTATATAAAAAGATGCTACTATAATTTAAAATTAAAATTATTTTTATTTAAAAAATAAATATTATTGCAAATAAAATATCGTCCGTTTTATTCTCTAATTTAAGGATTCCGTAACGGGAGATCACTAAAGCCTTTTAACGATTAAATCAATTACTAATCAATGCGTAAATTAAAATTCAAGTGACGCGCATAAAATACTACAAGGCCGTAACGAGTAGAATAGTTCGTGGCGAAAAATCCATCGCGTGATATTTCAGGTTCTATCGTTTATCGTTATAGTTTTTATATAAACCGATTCTATATCGATATTAGAATCGTCTAAACTAATAGCCGGCTAGAGTGATATTTTTTTTAAAAAAAATTTTTTAATCCTATACACTTAATATGAAAATATCCAATATCTAGATGTCTCGACCAATTTCTGCTTTTGTAAAGTGTTAATAGTAGTCATAATTACGTGTATTTTAAAAAGTTACCGCCTTAGTTTCTAAATCCCACGATAGAACATATGGGCAGTGTTCCGAGAAAAGGGCCCAAATTGACAAAAAATTATTTACAAAAAATCGATTACCTCGTAAACTATTGATCAGAATTGTATAATTTTGGTACCATTCGATTCCTCTCGATGAGACGAATCGGATGATACCAAAATCATGCAATTCTGATTAATAGTTTACGAAATAATTGATTTTGTGCAAAGAATTTTTTTATCAATTTGGGCTGAACACTGCCCATAACGATAAGGTCAGTTATATAATCGGCCATAATTCAAATAGAATATTTAACGATAATCACATATACTGTATATCGATATATATAGTTAAAAAAAGACAAAATTGTTATATATATAGCTATTTTTGGTACGTACAAATATTTTGTATATATTATGATTATCTGAATCTACCAATTGTCACAAATTTTTACGAATCCCCCACAATAATTAACAAATTCCAACAATCAGAGATATACAATAATTAATGATATACAGTCAACTCCACGTTCTCGGGGAAAGGTTCACTTGTAAAATGTGCATTTATAGAGTGATTTAATATCAACTACATATAATCTACATATAATGTGCCCAAATGACGTGTATTTATAGAGGGAAAGCGCATGTGAAGTACACTTATAGTGGTGTACTTATGGAGGGTTGACCATAAAAAAAGCTTACTATGAGAACAATATTAGTTGAGTATACAATTAGGAATAATAGTAATAAGCTTTAATGATACGTAAAAGAATATAACGATAAATATGAATACTGTATATGTATCAGGTAGATCTTTTCCTTAATTCTAGATTTTATGCAATAAAAAAGATCTATAGATTAGATAGAATTAAATGTTTTGCTAAAGGAGTATTACAGATACTTGTTGATCAAGATAGAATCTATTTTAGACATTAGATAATCTTTTTATATAAATTAAATCCAAAATCGCTTTACCCATGTTTTCTAAACGTCTCAACCAAATTGAAAATCATATATCTCAAATGGCTGGTAATTATACATTTTAATTACTTACCAGTCTTTAATATAAAGCTTCAAAATATAATATTGTATTTTCTGCCAGCAACACAATCGATTTTCCAAGACGTTCCTCGTGCCCCTCCTGACATTATTTTTAATCTCACCGCCACATACAAAGCTGACACCTTTGAACAAAAGGTTAACCTGGGTGTTGGGGCATATAGGGACGATAATGGAAAACCATGGGTATTACCAGTTGTAAAAAAGGTAAGAAAAAACTGTGAACTCTGCAAAACTCATTTATTTTCGAACGATTAAATAATACCATTTTAATTTAGGCTGAACGAGAGATTATAAATGATCCCCAAATTGATCATGAGTATCTCCCTATTTTGGGTCTTGCATCTTTTAGACAAGCATCAATAAAATTGATTCTTGGTGCTGATAATCCGGCCATTAAAGAGAAACGCGTGAGAATTTAATTTATGAAAATTCATATTTATTATCTTGATGTTTTAACTCAATTTTTATAATAAAAGGTTATGGCCGCACAAACCATATCAGGTACAGGTGCCAATCATCTTGGTGCCCTCTTTTTATCTAGGTTTTATCGGAAGGGTAGCATAGTTTTCGTATCCAATCCGACATGGGGTAATTTATTTATATTTATATATATTATACAATATTAGAAGTTATAAACATTTACCTAATTATCGTTATTTTTGTCAGCCAATCATAAGCCTATATTTAACAACGTCGGTTTCGAAGTCAGGGACTATGCATATTACAATCCAAAGACAATTGGACTAGATTTTGATGGAATGCTTGACTCTTTAGATGTACGAGTTTAAATTTATGTGTTGACTTAGTTATATGTTTATAAACTAACTTTGATCTTTTTGTTTTATAGAATGCGCCCGAAGGATCTATCATCTTATTGCATGCATGTGCTCATAATCCAACTGGCGTTGATCCAACTCAAGAACAATGGAAGGCAATTGCAGATGTTATGGAAGTATGTTGCTTAAATTATTCGACTTTAATTGGATAAGTTATGAACATTTGCCTTATTTGTCATTAGAAAAAGAAACATTTTCCCTTCTTCGACTGTGCTTATCAAGGTTTCGCTAGTGGAGATTTAGACCGTGACGCTTGGGCCGTTCGTCATTTTGTTGAGCGTGGCTTCGAATTGCTTGTGTGTCAATCTTATGCAAAGAATTTTGGTCTATATGGTTTGTATTTATTCATTTTTCTAATTGTGTTTCTTCGAATTTTAAATCTAGTTTTTCTATAATCATTAGGTCAGCGTGCTGGGTGTTTGACGTTTGTTCTTAAAGATTCCGAAACTGTCCTTAAAGTAGAGAGTCAACTTTCAAAACTTCAACGTGCTGAAATTTCTAATCCTCCGGCATATGGCGCTCGTATTGTTAGTTTGGTACTAAACGATCCCGCGCTCTTTGAAGAATGGTAATAATTTTATTTTAATACTATGATATATTTTTTTAATTATGTGTCACGGATGATCATGAAATCGGATGATGGTGAAATTTGGACCTAATTTAATATGAAATTTTAGAATTTTTTAAGGTGTATTTTCCTAGTTTTTTTTTAGTGATAGGTTAGAATTTAAGGTTAGAGTTGCTTAGAAAAGAGTATAAATAGATTTCAGTAGGGTTTATATTTTCAAAAGGAGACCCCAAATTTCACCATCATCCGATTTCACGATCATCCGCGACATTATGTAATTACATAATAATTCTGTGCTTTATATTTAGGGTTGATAATCTTAAAAATATGAGTTTCCGTATTCAAGAAATGCGTCGTCGTCTTTACGTAAATCTCGATGAACTTGATACACCTGGAACTTGGAATCACATTACTGATCAAATTGGGATGTTCTCATTTACTGGACTTAAACGTGAGTATTAGATAAATTTTTCAAAAAAAAATTTTTTTTGAATTTCGAAATAATTTACACTGTAATCAACACTATACATGCCTCTATTTCAAATTTTCTTAATTAGCCCACCAAGTTAAAGTCATTAAAGAAAAATATCATGTGTATTTGACAGATAACGGCCGTATTTCTATGGCTGGGTTATCTTCTAAAAATGTGGAATATTTTGCGAAAGCTGTAGATGATGTCGTGAGAAACTACCCTTAATGATGCCTTCAAACCCCTTTTTTTTAGTCAGAAGACTTTAGGTTCAATTCGTAAAATAATAATCTTAATAATAATGCTCATGTACTATAGAACTATATTTAAAATTTTTGCTGACTAAACTGCCATCTATTGAAAAAGTTTATGTATTAAGTTTGATATAATGTATCACAAGTGTAGCTCCTGTAATTAGACTCTGCTTACAAATTGAGCAGAATATTAACCCGAGAAGTGAGTTTTTAAAATCCATTATGTAATAAATGCTTTAAGTAAAACAAAGTCTAGAAATTTAGGTAATTTGCATTAATCTGAAGTATTTAATGAACGACTATGGTTTCATTTAGTAAAATGGGTCGTTTTCTAGGAAAACCGCAGATTGAAGGGTAGTTTTAATTTTGAGAAAAATGCGATTAAATTTTAAGTAGCACAAAATTTAATCGCATTTTTCT